GTGCCACTGAAGTATTTTAAGCTAAAAAGTGACATGATTAGACTTGATTTTCAGAAAGAATAATCTGGAAGCAGTGTAGAGGATGGATTAGAAGGGATTTAGGCTAAAGGATGTTTGAGGGATATAGCAATTAGTGAGTGAGAATGCCCTGGCAGTGGAAATAAAGAGGAAGAGATAGAGTTCAGAGATAATATTAACAAGATGTATTTGGAGTCTTTGGTTGCCAACAATAGAAATTAACCCAAGCTAGCTTAAGCAGAAAAACATGAATTTATTTATTATTCAGGATGTGTCATGGGACCTAAAGGCAGGTATGTGTCAGGACCTAGAAGAGACTCGAAACCATCAGGGCCCTCTTTCCAACTGTATTCCCTGCATCTTTGTGAGTCAGCTTCATTCTTCTTTCTACACAAATTGACCTCTGCTTCTCAGACCAGATGGCAGAACATTCCCTCGTCTGTACCAAATACCATCCCACCACCACTAGTTCTCAAATTTAAGCGCTAAAGACTGAGCTACTCTTAAAGCTGCCCTTACCTGCCTTCAGATCACAATTCTAAAGTCCAGGATGAGAGAATCTGGCCTGGTTTGGGTCAGGTATTGCGCGGATCTAATCTGTCCCAACCAGATGTGCTGAGTCACATAACAGAAATATGGCTCTCCAGGGCCCACCCTTGGGAGCAAAGCAGACAGTTCCTTGAAAAGGGACTGCATCAGCATTTCAACACCTCCTCTGTAACTCTCTTCACAGGTAGAATTTGTAAAATGTTAGCTGGGTAAATATGAGGGAGATAGAATTGAAGATTATTTCGTTTTGTGGCTTAGATGACTAGGTATATAAAGTTTACACTCACTAAACTAAGAGACTATAGAGGAGGAGTAGGTTTTTAAGGATTTTTTATAAAGTGTGCTGAGTTTAAAATATTTCAAGGCCGGGCGTGGTGGCACACACCTGTAATCCCAGCACTTTGGGAGGCTGAGGCAGGTGGATCACAAGGTCAGGAGTTCGAGACCAGCCTGGCCAATGTAGTGAAACCCCGTCTCTACTAAAAATACAGAAATCAGCCAGGCATGGTGGCAGGCGCCTGTAATCCCAGCTACTCGGGAGGCTGAAGCAGGAGAATCACTTGAATCTTGGAGGCAGAGGTTGCAGTGAGCTGAGATTGCACCACTGTACTCCAGCCTGGCCAGCAAAGAGACTCAATCTCAAAAAAAAATAAAAATAAAAAATAGGATATCTCAATACTTTTCATCATTTCAGCCTGTTCTGACTTTTGGCTGCAACGTCAGTAATTTTTCCAGCACAGAAAAGTTATTTACTCTTCAAACAGCTTAACATTGCTTCACCCCTCCCATCTCACTTATTTTCTTTCCTCTGACATTTGTATTTTCTTGTTAAAGTGTCAACTGGTAAGATGTGGCCTGAGAATGAAAAGGCAAGTTCACAACAACAGATTTTTGAAAATGAAGAAGCCTACTGGATGAAATCTAACAGTCTCCTAAAAGCTGATTCCCAGGATCCTGAGGTTAGAGAAGTTTGTGTTCAGGAAGTCAAATTAGAGAATCAATGGAAAACACCTATAAGAGAGAAACTGAGAGAAGAGAAAGAAGGCTCTGAGGAAGTAACCTGCAAAAAAAGAAAGAACCAGAAGGTGCTTAGAAAAAACCTGAATCCAAACTCAAAATACAGTCGATGTAATAGTATAGCACAGAAACTCCATGAATGTGCCAGGTGTGGCAAAAACTTCAGTTGGCACTCAGATCTAATTCTCCATGAGCAGATTCATTCTGCTGAGAAACCCCATGTGTGTGATGCGTGTGGGAAAGCATTCAAGACCAGAAATCAGCTTTCTGTGCACCAGATAATCCACACAGGGGAGAAGCCTTTTAACTGCACCCAGTGTGGGAAGGCTTTCAACAGTAGATCAGCTCTTTGCCGACATAAAAAAACCCACAGTGGGGAGAAGCCTCACGAGTGCAGGGACTGTGGGAAGGCCTTCAAGACCAGGAACTGTCTGTGTATGCATCAGCTCATCCACACTGGAGAGAAGCCTTACGAGTGTAACTGCTGTGGGAAGGCCTTCCAGTTTAAGCATTCCCTTACCATCCATGGCAGAATCCACACTGGAGAGAAGCCATATGAATGTGAGGAGTGCGGGAAGGCCTTCAGCGGGAGTTCAGACCTCACCAAACACGTAAGAATCCACACTGGGGAACGACCTTATGAGTGCAGCGAGTGTGGAAGGGCCTTCAGTCGGAGCTCAGACCTAAGCAAGCACAAACGAATCCATATTAGGGAGAAACACTATGGGTGCCCCCAGTGTGGAAAAGACTTCAGCATCAAGGCAGAACTCACCAAACACAGAAGGATGCACACTGAAGAGAAACGTTACAGGTGTGAGGAGTGTGGGAAAGCCTTTCGTCATAACTGTAAGCGCCGGGCTCATGAACGAGAGCACACCGGGGAGAAGCCCTATCAATGCGGAGATTGTGGGAAAACCTTCCAAGACCGGCACTGCCTTACCATCCATCAGAGAATCCACACTGGAGAGAAACCTTACAAATGTTTAGAGTGTGGGAAAGCTTTCGGTGGGAAGTCAAACTTGACCAATCACCAAAGAATTCACACTGGAGAGAAGCGTCACAAATGTGAGGTATGCGGAATGGCCTTCCATCATAGTTCAGTCCTGAGGCAACACAAAAGAATCCACACTGGTGAGAAGCCATACACCTGCAGTGAGTGTGGCACGTCCTTCCGTCAGGGCTCAGCTCTGATTGGACATAAGCGAGTTCATACTGGAGAGAAACCTTATGAATGTAAGGAGTGTGGAAAAGCTTTTAGAGTGAGCTCAAATCTTACTGGACATAAGAAAAGAAAACATCAAGTATGGAGAACCCATGAACTTGATGGGAGTAGGAAATCCCTCTCGCCAGTAACTGTTTCTCAGACCTCAGCAGTTAATATTTTGACCAGTGCCTGAGTATAACAATTCTGGTGTTACTTTTCTGTTTTTCCTACCTTGTAGGCTGGTCCTTCTGTCTCCTATATTAGTTATTCCTGATTTCCTGACCCTTAATTGTGAGATTCCCCAAAGACATTGTTCTTTACCTTCTTATTCAGTATTTTTTCAGTGAGCACATTTACTTCCAAGAGTTTATCAATCACTTCCTAATAATAATAAACACTTATTAGTGCTTGCTGTGTCCTAGGCACTGTTCTAAGGGATTTACACATTTAAACTTTTTAAATCCATACAACATCCCTATGAGATCAGGAATTTGAGGCACAGAAAGATTAACAAACTTGCCCAGGATCACATAACTAGTAAATTCTGTGCTCAGGCTTTCCTAGGCAATTCCCATGTGCGTGCACCACATCCTTCAGACATGAAGTTATACTTCAGTTCAGCACGAAACAGTTTTTAATTTATAAACACCAATCATTTTTAGCAATTTTTTTAACATAAAGCTAGAATGGTACTTCTCTATATTGTATCAGGATTGCTGAGATTCAAAGTGAAAAGGGAGGCAGGAAGAGAACAGGTTTAGAAATCACAGATAAGAGCCGGGCACGGTGGTTCACGCCTGTAATCTCAGCACTTTGGGAGGCTGAGGAGGGAGGATCACGAGGTCAGGAGTTCAAGACCAGTCTGGCCAATATGGTGACACCCTGTCTCTAATAAAATACAAAAATTAGGCGTGGTGGTGCACACCTGTAGTGCCAGCTACTCGGGAGGCTGAGGCAGGAGAATCGCTGGAACCCAGGAGGCGGAGGTTGCAATGAGCCAAGATCATGTCACTGCACTCCAGCCTGGGCAACAGAACGAGACTCCATCTCAAAAAAAAAAAAGAAAGAAATTACTAGCCTGACCTCCAGAAGTCTTTTGATGTTTACTAAACACATAAAATGAACATTTTGAGAGTGTATTTTTTTTAGTAAATTTTAGACTTTTACCAGGTAAAAAAGATATGTCTTGAAAATTTTGAAGGACTACTTTATGAACAGTGGGTTAATCTTGTTCTGCAACTATCCCAGAATAGAATTACAGTCCACAAGTAGAAGCTACAGGACATCTGTACATTTAGGAGATACTCAACTGGAACAGATTCTGCCCTAAGGTAATAAGTTTGGTAAGAATAATGCTGAAGAAATTCAAAGGTCAGGTTCATAGTTGAATGATAAAACATGTTGCTTGAAACCCTAAGATATCTGTAGTTCTAATTCTGAAGAGTTAGCAAACAAGAGTTAGTCTAAGTTATAATTTACATACAAAAATCACCAGGTAAAACTCACTTTTTAAAATCTAATTACATTCTACATGCAAACAAAATTTTTACCAGGAACATTGATATTATGAGATTATTTTTACTTTACCTTCACAAAAGAAATAGAGAATGCCCATTTCATTTAAGTTTAAGAAAGATGATAAGATACTTCTTGGTAAGGATTGTAGCTTGACTACGTGTATCTGGTATTGCTCCCTCTCAGAACTACACTAATGCTACAGTAAAACCATTCATAATCAGGAAGAATGACAGAGGAAACAACTATAAAATTTTGGAAACTGAAAAATGGATAAGTAGTAATGACATTGAATCTAAGAAAGCCAAATTTTAGCCTGAAGGGGGCAAGTAAAGGACAAATCTGACCAGGCATAGTGGTTTACATGTGTAGTCCCAGCACTTTGGGTGGCCGAGATGGGAGGATCACTTGAAATCAGCAATTTGAGACCAGCCTGGCCAACACGGTGAAACCCTGTCTCTCTATTAAAAATACAAAAATTAGCTGGGCTTGGTGGCGCGTGCCTGTAGTCCCAGCTACTGGGGAGGGGGAAGGGGAGGTGGCAGTTAGCCGATATCGCACCACTGCACTCCAGTCTCTGGGCAACAGAGTAAGACTCCTTCTAAAAAAAAAAAAAAGACAAATCTATTTTACATCATAGAATCTTAAACGACTCAAGAATTGGTGGCACCATATACCCCTGGAAATGAGGATGAATAGACTAAAATGAGGAGAGTCTGTCAAAGACTATTTAGGAAGCAAGCAGAGTCCTAGGTCCTCAAGCCCAAAGAAGATTGGAGGTTTATTTTCTGAAGAAGGTTAAACAAAGAATATGTGGGTTAGACACAATCGAGGACAGGAATTCCATTTGGGAAAAGGAGCATTCTGAATGCCAATGCCTCCAGCCTACTTTCCTTGTCTCCCAGAAAGGTAAGGGTCTGGCTTTCACCTCCCAGACAAAAGACAGTTTTCAGTGAGAAATCCAACCAGAATAGACCTGAAGATACATCAGGAGTTTCTCAGCAAGTGGCCTAGCCAGATAACCTGTAGTGAACATAAGCAAGCCATAGTCATGCCGTCAGAGCTTCCCATAGGTTTTATAGTCGTCCTCTATTAAAAAAAAATAAAGTTTATTGGCCAGGCACAGTGGCTCACGCCTGTAATCCCAGCACTTTGGGAGGCTGAGGCAGGCGGATCATCTGAGGTCGGGAGTTCACGACCATTAGCCAGGCATGGTGGCTCTTGCCTGTAATCCCAGCTACTTGGGAGGCTGAAGCAGGAGAATCGTTTGAACCCAGAAAGCAGAGGTTGGGGTGAGCCAAGATCGTGCCATTGCACTCCAGCCTGGGCAACAAGAGCAAAACTCTGTCTCAAAAAAATAAATAAATAAAAAACAAATTTCATTATAGAACATTTCAAATCCATGCAAGAGCAAAGGCAATAGAAAAATGAACTCCACGTACATCATTCAGCTTCAACAATTATTACATCAGGGCTAATCTTGTTTCATCTGTATGCCCACCCATTCCCTCTGCTTAAGATTATTTTCAAGCAAATGACAGAAATTGTGTTTCATCCATAAGTATTTAATTGTCTATAGGAGATAATGACTGTTTTAAAAAACTAATAATATGGGCCAGGCGTGGTGGCTCACGCCTGTAATCCCAGCACTTTAGGGAGGCCAAGGTGGACGGATTGCCTGAGGTCAGGAGTTTGAGACCAGCCTGGCCAACATAGTGAAACCCTGTCTCTACTGAAAATACAAAAATTAGCCAGGCGTGATGGCAGGTGCCTGTAATCCCAGCTACGCGGGAGGCTGAGGCAGGAAAATTGCTTGAACCCGGGAGGCAGAGGTTGCAGTGAGCCGAGATCACACCACTGCACTCCAGCCTGGGCGACAGAGTGAGACTCCATCTCAAAATAAATAAATAAATAAACTAACTAATAATAGAGCCAGGGGCACGACGGCCTATGCTGCAGTCCCAGCTACTTAAGAGGCTGAAGTGGGAGGACTCCTTGAGCCCTAAAGTTTGAGGTTAGCCTGGGCAATATTGCAAGACCCCATCTCTAAAACACAAACCAAAAATATAAATAAACTAACACTAGTACAGTTATCATACCTAAACAAAATCATCTACTTGGCAACATCATCAAAGATTCATTCGGTGTTCAAATATTTCTCTAATGCCATTTTTTTCTTAACATTTGAGAAAAAACAGGCCTGGCACCATGGCTCACACCTGTAAGCCCAGTACTTTGGGAGGCCAAAGCAAGAGAATCACTTGGGCTCAGGAGTTCAAGACCAGCCTGGGCAACATAGCAAGACCCTGTCTCTACAAAAAATTCAAAAATTAGTCAGGCATGGTGGTGCACGACTGTGGTCCCAGCTACTCAGGAGAGGAGATTGGGAGGTCAAAGCTGCAGTGAGCTGCGATCATGCCACCACACTCCAGCCTGGGTGTCAGAATGAGACCCTGTCTCAGAAGAAAAAAAAAAAAGTATTCAAATAAGGTCAATACATTGTGATTAGTTCGTACGTATCTTAAGTCTTTTAACATATAAGTTCTCCCCATATCTCTTTTTTCTTGAAATTTATTTAATGATTAACTAGGTTGTTGGTGCTATTGAGTTTCACAGTTTGGATTTTAATTATTGCACACCTTTGGTAGTATTTAACATGTTCCTCTGCCCCTGTATATCCTAAAAATTAATAGTTAGATCTAGGGGTTTTAGATGTGGTTTTGGTAAGACTACTTCATAGGCATCAGCACAAGCCTTTTTTGTTTAACATGACTAAAGTAGTCTTCAATAGCCTCCTTGCTTTCTGCTGAAAAGATTTTCCAGGTTTATCTGGTATATTTCCTTAAGAAGACTCTTCTAAAACTAGTACAGGAAAAAATAGAAGATCTGAATAGCCTGATACCAATTATTTAAGTAGAACCTATAATATACATTCCCAGAAAGAAAACTTCAGGATCAGATGGTTTCACCAGTTAATTCTACTAAACATGCGAGGAAAAATAATCCCAATGTTAAACTCATTTTATGAGGCCTGTGTAACCTTAATACCAAACCATTAGGGAATGATGAGGAAAAACAAACAACACAAGGAAATTTTTTTGTTTTTTTTTTTTTGAGACGGAGTTTCGCTTATCGCCCAGCTGGAGTGAAGTAGTACAATCTTAACTCACTGCAACGTTTGCCTCCCAGGTTCAAGCGATTCTCCTGCTTCAGCCTCTTGAGTAGCTGGGATTACAGGCGCCCGCCACCACGCTCGGCTAATTTTTTGTATTTTTAGTAGAGACAGCGTTTTGCCATGTTGTCCAGGCTGGTCTTGAACTCCTGACCTCAGGCGATCTACCCGCCTCGGCCTCCCAAAGTGCTGGGATTACAGGCGTGAGCCACGGCGCCTGGCTGGAAATTTTTTTAAAAAAGATAATTACAGGCTATTATCATTCATGAATGTAGTGAGAAAAATCTTGAGATAGTAACAAACAGAATCCAGAAATACGCATTTTTTAAAAGATGACATGTCTTGAACAAGTTAGGATTATTCTAGCATGGAAAAGGTGGACTAGCATTCAAAAATCAGTAAAGGTGGCCAGGCGTAGTGGCTCACGCCTGTAATCCCAGCACTTTAGGAGTCCCAGGAGGGAGGATCACTTGAGGTAAGAAGTTTGAGACCAGCCTGGCCAACATGGCAAAACCCCCCTTTCTACTAAAAATACAAAAATTAGCCAGTGTGGCCTGCACCTGTAATCCCAGTTGGGAACAATTCTGTGATTGTCCTTCTTTCTAACATACAATTCATATGATTTTCTTTTTATTCTCTTAAATCTGGAACATCATTCAAAATCTACACATAGAAAACTATGTCCTCTTTAGTAGAGTTTGCCGCATATTAGGGCAGTAACTT